TGTGTGTGTGTGTGTATGTCTGCGTCTGTGTCTGTGTCTGTGTATGTGTCTGTGTCTGTGTCTGTGTCTGTGTCTGTGTCTGTGTCTGTGTCTGTGTCGGTGTCTGTGTCTGTGTCTGTGTCTGTGTCTGTGTGTGTGTGTGTGTTGGTCGCTTGTTCAGTATATGTGCAGACATTGGCAATATTTTTTTATAATTCTCAGCATTTCGTTTATGTGCTGACCTGTACTTTCGTGGATGCTAATGTGCACGTGTGTCCGTGTGCGTGTGTGTGTATTCTTTGGCGCTATCCAATTGGCTTGAAAGCCTTAAAAATGGATTTTATAGGCAAAGTTACACCTTGCCATAAAATGTCATACATAAACCATCACACTCTCCCCCACAGTCTCCCATTGCCTATCATTGCCTTTGGCTTAACACATCTTCATCATCCCACTGTGCATGTCAGTTTGTTAAGAACTTGGTGCGGCGAGGACTCAAAGACACTCTCATTTCGGACCAGGTAAGGCGCGAGCTAATTGACTGTCGCAAATATGTCGCAAATCGCTACTTCCCAAGTTTGGCTTATTTGTGTGTATGTGTTTTCACACTCATTTCAGACCAGGTAAGGCGCAGGCTATTTTTATATCGTAAATATGTCTCAACCCCTGTTCTTAAGTGTGGCACCTGTGTGTGTATGCGTTTTCACTATTCATTTCAGACCAGGTAAGGCGCGGACTATTTGAGTGTCGCAATTATGTCGTAAATCACGGCTTGGAAACGTGTGCCTTGCCTGAAAGTGTATGTGTGTACACAATAAGCAACGGGAAACATCAATATATTTTTTGGGTGCAATGGAGTCTCATTTGTATTTGTCTTGCGCAGTGAGTGCATTGGCCGTGACTGATAGGTGGCATAGGTCCATTCTGTGCTTCTAGGTGAAGCTATGGGGTTATAGCACGCGATCGTATGACCTACACTGTATCATGTGAACATCCCTATAGTAAATATATTCGGTCCACGCTGCTTCTCGAGTGTGATGGTTGGTTTACATTCCCGTGTACCCTTAAGAGTCCTTGGGGTGTTGCAGGGCTATTTGTATTCTGTGAGGGCCTTGAGTGGGGTGTATTTTATGTTATTCATAGGACGTTGGTGACATGCACTCCCAACACCTCAATAGTAACTATGCTGTGGCAAAAAGTACCCATGTATTTGTTCAGGGATAGAGACGAGTACATCTGAGCAACTCTCTATCCTGTACATACTTTGTACTCTCTTGTGGAAGGATGTTACCTCTACGGCTGACTCAAAAGGAAAGTTGTCCCTCGAGTGGTCTTGTGAACCAGTCGACGGAGGCTCAAGAGGGCGCTCGTATATCTCCGCGCTTTGGGGTTTAGGTTTTTATATGCTGTCACCACGTTTTAGGGTTTAGGGTTTTATATACATCTCTACGTATTAGGGTTTAGGGTTTTATATACATCTCTACGTATTAGGGTTTAGGGTTTTATATGCTGTCACCACGCTTTAGGGTTTAGGGTTCTATATACTATCTCCACAGGGTTTAGGGTTTTATATACTATCTCCGGGCTTTAGAGTTTAGGGTTTCATATGCCGTCACCACGTTATAGTAGTTTAGGGTTTTATATACTATCTCCACGTATTAGGGTTTAGGATTTTATATGCTGTCACCTACGCTTTAGGGTTTAGGGTTCTATATACTATCTCCACGTTTTAGGGTTTAGGGTTTTATATACTATCTCCGGGCTTTAGGGTTTAGGGTTCTATATACTATCTCCACGTATTAGGGTTTAGGGTTTTATATACTATCTCCACGTATTAGGGTTTAGGGTTTTATATGCTATCATCACGTTTTAGGGTTTAGGGTTTTATATGCTATCACCACGTTTTAGAGTTTAGGGTTTTATATACTATTTCCACAATACTCGTTGCAGGTAACATGTGACTTTGAAGATCGCGACGATTTATTGCAACTCCTCCGGACGCATTTGAAAGAGAATTTACTGCAAGTGAATGACCAGTGGTACCACCAAACACTTGGCATTTCTCAGGGCTCCATCCTCTCTAGCCTACTCTGCAGGTATTAATAGTGCATGCGAGAATACGCCTATAGCACTATACATATATATATATATATATATATATATATTAATATATGTATCTATGTTTGTGTGCAGTTGTGTGGTTGTGTGTGTGTGTGTGTGTGTAGTTATATATATGTATATATGTATATATTTATATATATGCATTATAAGCATACTCGTCACTTCTGGTTTGCACTGACCATGCATGTATCAGTGTGCGTGTTGGTGCATGAGTACTTGTCACACTTACAGACAGAGTCGTATAAAATTTATTAAAAAAATTATGTGACTGTTGACAACGTTTTTCTTTTCTTTTTCCGCCTATATATGTATATGTATACATGAGTGTACTTGTTTAAGCTAAAATATATATGTGAGTATATATGAGTGTCGCGAATATATATGTTTGTGAGTGTTTTTGTGTTAAGCTAAAACATTTATGTGAGTATATATGGGTATATATATGTATATATATATATATAT